CCCAGCTACTCGAGAGGCTGAGGCAGGAGAATCGCTGGAACCTGGGAGGCAGAGGTTACAGTAAGCCAGGATCGTGCCACTGAGAGCAAGACTCCATCTAAAAAAAAAAAAAAAAAAAAAAAAAAGATCCTTGCATTGTTGAAAAGCGTTAAAAGTACTAAATTAACAAGTTTGTAATAAGTCAAGGATGCACTGAATAAATGAGCCAAATAGAAAATGAATAGCAAAATAATAGACTTAAAATTCAACTATGCCAGTAAAAGCATTAAATATAAATGGCCTAAACACTCTAATTGTCCCACCATGTTGGGAGACGGAGGCAGAAGGACCACTTGAACCCAGGAGTTTGAGACCAGCCTGGGCAACATAATGAGACCCCATCTCTACAAAAAATTTAAAAATCAGCAGGGCATGGTGATGCATGCCTATAGTCCTAGCTACTGAATAGGCTGAGGTAAGACAATTACTTGAACCTGGGAAGTTGAGGCTGCAGGAGCTGAGATCACACCATTGCATTCCAGCCTTGGTGACACAGCAAGATCTTGTTTCAAAAAAAAACAACTCCAATTAGATAATTGTCAAGCTGGGTACAGCTGCTCATGCCTGTAATCCCAGCACTTTGAAAGGCCAAGGTGGGAGGATCCCTTGAGCTCAGGGGTTTGAGACCAGCCTGGGCAATATAGCAAGACCTTGTCTCTACTAAAAATTATTATTATTTTTTAGTTAACCCGTTGTGGTGGCACATGCACTTAATCCCAGCTACTCTGGAGACTGAGGCCAGAGGATTGATTGAACCTACAAAGATAAAAGAGTCCATTCAAAAGGAAGATATAATAACTCTAAATTTGTATATACCTCATAACAGCTTAAAGTATATAAAGCAAAAATTAATAGAACTAAGAGAAATCACTTTCATAATTAGAGATGTTAACATACCTCTCTCAGTTACTGATAGAGCAAGCAGACAACAAATCAGAAGGGATCTTAATGATTTGTATATTATTAACCACCTTGACGTAATTGGCATATTTAGAACACCATACCAAACAATTGCACAATACACTTTCCAAATACACATAATTGGAGATAATGTATTATAAATTTGGAAAGCAATAACTGTAAACTTCTGTTGTTTATTTGTAACTTGGACCATATTTGAGATACATAGGAAAAGCATTAAGTATAAATGGTCTAAACACTCCAGTTATCCTACCACGTTGGGAGACTGAGGCGGAAGGACACTTGAACCCAGCAGTTTGAGACCAGCTCTGCTCACTGCAACCTCCACCTCCTGGGTTCAAGCGATTCTCCTGCCTCAGCCTCCCAAGTAGCTGGGATTATAGGCATGTACCACCACACCCAGATAATTTTTGTACTTTTAGTAGAGACGAGGTTTCACCATGTTGGCCAGGCTGGTCTCAAATTCCTGATCTCAGGTGGTCTGCCGGCCTCGGCCTCCCAAAGTGCTGGGATTACAGGCATGAGCCACTGTGCCCGGCCTCTAGTTCATTTTTCTTCAACAAAGAAGCAGCCTAGGCCGGGCGTGGTGGCTCACGCCTGTAATCCCAGCACTTTGGGAGGCCGAGGCAGGCGGATCACAAGGTCAGGAGATCGAGACCATCCTGGCTAACACGGTGAAACCCCGTCTGTACTAAAAATACAAAAAAAAAATTAGCCGGGCGCGGTGGCGGGCACCTGTAGTCCCAGCTACTCAGGAGGCTGAGGCAAGAGAATGGCGTGATCCCGGGAGGCTGAGCTTACAGTGAGCCGAGATCGCACCATTGCACTCCAGCCAGGGGAACAGAGCGAGACTCCGTCTCAAAAAAAAAAAAGAAGAAGCAGCCTATAGCCAAAGAATGCCTGCCTCTGTCTCTTTTAACCTCCATGAGGTTTCCAGATAATAATCTGGTATTGGGTTTAACACACCCGGCTGACCTTAGGACCCTAGGCTGACCTGGAGGTATATTTTCAAACAGATTCTCAAGTCCTACCTCCTGGAGATTCTGTATTTTGAAAAGGCAATTGGGCTGATTCCAAGTATTTGGACAGATTTCAGAGTCTTGGAAATAAGGTACTGTTTGTCCTGGAGAGCAGGAAGAAGAGGGGAAGGAAAGAGGGAGAATATGAGGATATGAATATGTATGTGTGAATTTGAGATAACTGAGTCAGGGCCAGGTGTGGCTCGACCCCAACGCAGGAGGTAGGAGGAAAGAAGGACATCAGCCTCTAAAAGTTTTGTAAACATGAAAATCAAGCATATTTGCATAACAAGCAAAGAAAATGTTGCTCTCTTTGTTTTTTGTATTCAGTGGCTTTTTTTCTTTTTTAATACATACTCTGCTTATGTATCAACTACTTTTTTTTGAGACAAGGTCCTTGTATTAAGCCATTCTTGCATTGCTATAAAGAAATCCCTGACACGGGGTAACTTATAAAGAAAAGAGCTTTATTTGGCTCGTGGTTCTGTAGGCTGTACAGGAAACATAATGCTTGCAATCTGCCCTGCTTCTGGGGAGGTCTCAGGAAACTTACAATCATGACAGAGGACCAACCAGGAATAAGCATGTCACATGACCAGAGCCAGGACCAAGAGAGCAAAGAGGGTGACGCCACTTATTTTTAAACGACCGGATCTCATGAGAACTCAATCACTATTGCTAAGGCAGCACCAAATGGATGGTGCTAAACCATTCATGAGAAATCCACCCCCAAGATCCAGTCACCTCCAACCAGGCCCCACTTCCAGTACTGAAGATTACAATTCAACCTGAGATTTGAGCATGGACATATATCTAAACTATATCAGTATGGCTCTGTTGCCCAGGCTGGAGTGCAGTGGCACGATCACAGCTCAATGCAGCCTGGACCTCCTGAACTCAAGCGATCTTCCTACCTCAGCCTCACAAGTGGCTGGCACCAGGCACATACCACCATGCCCAACTAATTTTTTTTTTTTTTTGAGACGAGTCTGGCTCTGTCGCCCAGGCTGGAGTGCCATGGCCGGATCTCAGCTCACTGCAAGCTCCGCCTCCCAGGTTTACGCCATTCTCCTGCCTCAGCCTCCCGAGTAGCTGGGACTACAGGCACCCGCCACCTCGCCCGGCTAGTTTTTTGTAGTTTTTAGTAGAGATGGGGCTTCACTGTGTTAGCCAGGATGGTCTCGATCTCCTGACCTCGTGATCCGCCTGTCTCGGCCTCCCAGAGTGCTGGGATTACAGGCTTGAGCCACCACACCCGGCCTTTTTTTTTTTTTTTTTTTAAAGAGAGAGGGTTTCGGCCGGGCGCGGTGGCTCAAGCCTGTAATCCCAGCACTTTGGGAGGCCGAGACGGGCGGATCATGAGGTCAGGAGATCGAGACCATCCTGGCTAACATAGTGAAACCCCGTCTCTACTAAAAATACAAAAAACTAGCCGGGCGAGGTGGCGGGCGCCTGTAGTTCCAGCTACTCCGGAGGCTGAGGCAGGAGAATGGCGTAAACCCGGGAGGCGGAGCTTGCAGTGAGCTGAGATCCGGCCACTGCACTCCAGCCAGGGCTACAGAGCAAGACTCCGTCTCAAAAAAAAAAAAAAGAGATAGGGTTTCTTCATGTTCTCCAGGCTGGTCTGTCTTTACCTAAAAAAGAGGAGAAGCCAGATGTCGTAGCCAGTGTCTGTAATCTGAGACATTCTCATAATTTCAAGTATTTGCCTGTAATCTCAGCTACTCAGGAGGCTGAGGCAGAGTATTACTTGAGTCCTAGAGTTGAAGGCCACAGTGAGCTGTGATTGTGTCACTGCACTCCATGCTGGGCAACAGAACGAAACCCTGTCTCTAAAATAATTAGAGAGAGAGAGAGAGAGAATCAGATTCTATTGTATTTCATGTAAAGTGTTAAAGCAATTGAGATCCAGAATGTCCTTGAATAAGACATGCAACTAGGAAGAGCCACTGTCCTCTTATCATTTCCATCTTTTGCCCTTTAGTAATGAGGACACTATTTTGCCTAAGTCTTCTGGGTATAGCAAACTAATGCATCAGTAGTCATCATTGCATTTACTGTGGTAATTACGATTGTATAAATCTAACCTTTACTGAAAAACTTCCCTAGACCTCCATCAATCAACTGAAAAAAAGATTGAATTTTCCAGTTGTTTCTTTTAAAAATGTAATCCTGTTGGTTGTGTATTTTCTTTTTTGAAAATATCTAGTTTTGGCCGGGCGCGGTGGCTCAAGCCTGTAATCCCAGCACTTTGGGAGGCCGAGACGGGTGGATCACGAGGTCAGGAGATCGAGACCATCCTGGCTAACACGGTGAAACCCCATCTCTACTAAAAACTACAAAAAACTAGCCGGGTGAGTTGGCGGTCGCCTGTAATCCCAGCTACTCGGGAGGCTGAGGCAGGAGAATGGCGTAAGCCCAGGAGGCGGAGCTTGCAGTGAGCCAAGATTGCGCCACTGCACTCCAGCCTGGGCGACAGAGCGAGACTCCATCTCAAAAAAAAAAAAAAAAAAAAAGAAAATATCTAGTTTTAAAAGAGGGGCCAGGTGTGGTGATACACACCTTTAATCCCAGTGCTTTGGGAGGCCAAGCAGGGAGGATTTCTTGAGACCAGGCATTTGAGACCCTCTCTCTACAAAAAAAAAACTTTCTAATTAGCCAGGCATGATGGTACTTGCCTATAGTCCTGGCTACTCAGGAGGCTGAGGCAGGAGGATCATTTGAGATCAGGAATTTTAGGCTGCAGTGAGCTATGATTACACCACTGTGCTTCTGCCTGGGCAACAGAGTGAGACCCTGTTTCTAAAATAATAATAATAAATTTTTTAAAAAGATTTTTTAGTGATTATTATGATCTTTTTACCCTCCTCCAAAAGTGTGATTTGCTTCAGATGTGAAATTGTTTGCAGTCAACATGTTAGCTTATCATATGCTGTTCCTTGATGTATTTCTACAAAATAGAGGTTCCACTTTAATTTCAGGATGGTTTTTCCACATGACTCTTTTTTTCTTCCTCTCTAGACTTCTCCAGAGAACCTTGGAACAGTAGGTGGAGTGCAAAGCTGCATTGTGTACCTTCCTGCTTTTTTTTGTTGCTTTCCTGCTGGGTTTATTATTTTTTTTTTTCTTTAAATTCTTGGCCCTGCCTTGGCTCTCCTTTCTCTGCCATTAAAACTAACTAAACCCTGCATGTGTGGTCATTATGAGGGGTTCATGGCCTTTTATTTCAATTCTGCACATGTATCATGTCAGTTATGTTTTGTGTCAAATCCTTAATATTATTATTATTTTTGTTTTTGTTTTTGAGACAGGCTCTCACTCTATTGCCCAGGCTGGAGTACAGTGGCGTAATCACGGCCCACTGCAGCATTGACCTCCCGGGCTCAAGTCATCCTCCCACCTCAGCCTCCTGAGTAGTTGGGACTACAGGTGCACACCACCATGCCCGGCTAATTTTTGTTTTTGTATTTGTTGTAGAGACAGGGTTTCACCTTATTGCCCTAGTTGGTCTCAAGCTTCTGAGCTTAAGCGATCTACCTGCTTCAGCCTCCCAAAGTGCTGGGATTACAGAAATGAGCCACTGTGCCTAGCCTATAATAGTCTCTAAAGCACTACTATGGTAGGCAAATTGGAATCTCACCTCTACTTTCTGAAAATATTTCGCTCCAATTTAATGCACCCACTTTCTAATGCTTCTGCACCTTCCAGTACCTAGGGTCCTTTTTGTGAAGGGAGAAAATAATTTGATGAGCAGATATAAGTAAGGTATTAACAATTAATGTGTTACCTCTCCCTGAACTATTTATATCCTGAAAAGGTCAGGGAAAGGGCAATGTTTAATAGAGAAAATGACTCACTTACTAATGAGGTAGGAATTCCCTGCCTCAGTAAGGCAAGATCTCATGCATTTGGTAAGACATCCACATTTTGTATACATGCACCTTTAAAAGATTTTGAGCTGGCTCTGATCGTTGCACCAGATTTTGTCCTAAAAATGATGTCAGCTTGGTTTGATTCCTTTTCCTCCTTAGTAATTTATCTGTTAATGGATTTTGATGTTTGGTGTCCATGTGATGTCCAGGAGTCTCTCTGTCTGCATGATTGTTTATCATTGCTCCGATCCTTTCCAACTACCACAGGAAGAGAGGGGAAGGGGCATTTTAGAGATTATGCTGAAATAATACATTTGCTTCCTTCCCTCTCTTCTCTCCATGTAACAGAGGAAGCAGATCAGCCCGCTACAGAGCCAGGCATGGTCATGGACAGTGTGGAAGCAGGAGACACAACACCTCCTACCAAAAGGAAGAGCAAGTTCTCAGGCTTTGGCAAGATCTTCAAGCCCTGGAAATGGAGGAAAAAAAAAAGTAGTGATAAATTTAAAGAGACTTCAGAAGGTGAGATATTAAGGGTTAAATATGTGTTCTGAGTTAGAGTTCTCTATGTTAGAAGTATTTAATTTTTCCTTATCTTACCGAGTTTCTGTAGTCCTCTATTTGAAGAGGGTGTTTAATCTTTTATTCTTTTCTTTTTTTTTTTTTTTTTTTTTTTTTTTTTTTTTTTTGGTGAGACAGGATCTCCCTCTGTTGCCCAGGCTGGAGTACAGTGGCGCAGTCACAGCTCACTGAATATTCAACCTCCTGGGCTCATGCAATCCTCCTGCCTCAGCCTCCCAAGTAGCTGTAAGTACAAGCATGAGCTACTGTGCCCAGTTAATTTTTAAATATTTTGTAGAGACGGGGTCTCCTTATGTTTCCCAGGCTGGTCTTGAACTCCTGGGCTCAAGCGATGCTCCCACCTCAGCCTTCCAAAGTGCTGGGATTACAAGCGTGAGCCACTGTGGCTGGCCAGAGTTTAATCTTTTAGAATTAAACATCAAAATGGTCATTTACTAAACCTAATATTGTATACCCTCATCCCCAGGTTTGTATTTTGATGGGATATACGTATCTATTGAGTGGTGAATGGAGTTCCTGAACTGTAGCAAATCTAAGATGCTTCTTTCCATCAGAACTTGGTGAAGAAAATGATTAAATGAATTAATACATGCATAAATAAAATGCTTATTTTTTTTCCTACTCTGCCCATCCACACAAAGTTCATCCATAAATAACTTACTAATGAAATTTTCTCTTAAGTTACAATTATGTAAGGCTAATTTTTTGGAAGTGATGCTTTCCTGATAGCACAGGTTATAAAAGAAATTTAAGATTTTTAATTTGAAGTTAGTCTACTAGTTATTTTCTTTCCTGAGAATATAAACTTAAACTACTTTATTCTTTTACCTGTAGAATTAGAATGTTAAGTGTAAGGTTGACTTTCAACTATCACATTTCTGAGTGCCATTTTCCAATTTAATGTTAGTTTTAGAACGGAAAATATCTATGCGAAAACCAAGAGAAGAGCTGGTTAAAAGAGGGGTTTTGTTGGAAGACCCTGAGCAAGGTGAGTTTACAAATGAATAGCATATGCCTGTATCTGTGCACTTGGTCTTTCATTGGGTCTGACTAGGTATTTGAATTTTCTTTCTTTCTTTTGTATTGCTATTTTTGGGTTGGAGGGTGGCCTTTAAAAAACAACAAAAAAGTTCACCCTTCCTTCCTTGGGGCAAACATTCCTTTCCTCTTTGTACATCCTCAACTTTGTGCCAGCTGCAGTATTGTGTGTCTTTTTTTTTTTTTCCCCTTGAGACAGAGTCTCACTCTGTTGCCCAGGCTGGAGTGCAGTGGTGCAGCCTCGGCTCACTGCAACTTCTGCCTCCTGGGTTCAAGCAATTCTCGTGCCTCAGCCTCCCAAGTAGCTGGGATTACAGGCACCTGCCACCACCCCCAGCTAACTTCTGTCTTTTTAGTAGAGATGGGGTTTCACCATGTTGGTCAGGCTGGTCTTGAACTCCTAACCTCAGGTGATCCACCCGCCTCGGCCTCCCAAAGTTCTGGGATTACAGGCGTGAGCCACTGTGCCTGGCTAATTTTTGTATTTTTAGTAGAAATGGTGTTTCACCAAGTTGGCCAGGCTGGTCTCGAACTCCTGGTCTCAGGTGTTCTACCCACCTTGGCCTCCCAAAGTGCTGGGATTACAGGCTTGAACCACTGCGCCCAGCTCATTTTCTTTTTTGAACACATTTGTACCCATGCCCATCACTGCACCAGTCCATACTCATTATTTGTTTAATAATGTCAAAACAAAAAAACAAAACAAAACAAAAATAATGTCAAGACTTTCTTCAGTGTGTGACTCTATGAAGCAAGTTATTGTAAATGTAAAAGTATAGTACATTGGTTGCATCTCATTTCTCTTCATCTGAGTTATATGGCATGAGGCAAAATCTGAAAGCCAAGTTTTAAAAACATATTGTATACTGGCCAGGCATGGTGGCTCACGCCTGTAATCCCAGCACTTTGGGAGGCTGACGCAGGCAGAACACTTAAAGTCAGGAGTTTGAGACCAGCCTGGCCAACATGGTGAAACCCCGCCTCTACTAAAAATACAAAAAATTAAGAGGGCATAGTAGCAGACACCTGTAGTTCCAGCTACTTGGAAGGCTGAGGCAGGAGAATCACTCGAACTCAGGAGGCAGAGGTTGCAGTGAGCTGAGATGGTGCCACTGCACTCCAACCTGGGCAACAGAGCAAGACTCCTAAAAAAAAAAAAAATCGCATGCTTTGAAGAATAGGGGAAAGGAACCAAACAGATGGAGTATTACTGTATACTTTTTGGGCTTTAAACCATGTGAATATATTGCCTATTCAAAAAATTAAATTGTATGTATTGAAGATTTATTATCTCAACTGTATAAAAACTAACCAGAGAAAATAAGCTTGACAGAGCAATTTGAAATATTATTACAATTGATTACCTCTGAAGTTGAAGTGGGAACTTGAGTGGGGTTTTTTTTGTTTTTTTTTTTTAATTGAGACAGGGTCTCCCTATGTTGCCCAGACCAGTCTCAAACTCCTGGGCAGCACAAGCAGTCCTCCTGCCTTAGCCTCCCAAAGTGCTGGGATTACAGGCGTAAGGTGCTGTGCCCAGGCACTATGGGATAGTTTCTTTCCTTTTTTTTTTTTTTTTTTTGTATGTGATTAGTTATGAGCATGTGTAACTTTTGTTTTACATAACTCTATTTGTTTTTTACATTAGGACACAAAATCTTCCCAGTATTTAGGTAGTTACATACTATTATAATGATTCCACTGTAGCACCTCTGTGGCCCTTGGTTTGCTTTCTTTTTTGAGACAGTCTCACTCTGTCTCCCAGGCTGGAGTACAGTGGCGTGATCTTGGCTCACTGCAACCTCCATGTCCTGGGTTCAAGCAATTTTCCAGCCTCAGCCTCCCGAGGAGCTGGGATTACAGGCACCTGCCACCATACCTGGCTAATTTTTGTATTTTTAGTAGAGACAGGGTTTCACCATGTTGGCCAGGCTGGTCTTGAACTCCTGACCTCAAGTGATCCACCCACCTCAGCCTCCCCAAGTGCTAGAATTACAGGCGTGAGCCACCACACTTGGCCTGGCCCTTGCTTTTTTGATACAGCCATTACACTTTCCATGGCCTTTCTTTTCACCTTTCTTGCTCACTTATCATAAACCACATACATTACTTATTTCTTGTTTTTCATCCTCAATCTCTTTTGCCCTATACTCATGGCAACCTCTGCCTCCTGGGTTCAAGCAATTCTCCTTCCTCAGCCTCCCAAGTAGCTGAAATTGTAGGCATGCATCACCACGCCCAGCTAATTTTTGTATTTTTAGTTGAGACGGGGTTTCACCATGTTGGCCAGGCTGGTCTCAAACTCCTGAGCTCAAGTGATCCACCTGCCTCGGCCTCCCAAAGTTCTGGGATTACAGGCATGAGCCACTACGCCCAACGATCTTTTGCCCTACACTTTCTATTAGCTCCTAATCCAAGTTGTTTTTAGCCTACACGTTCAAAGGCCCAATTAATAAACAAGTTGCAGCCATTGGACAAGATGCCACTCTGCCAACCAGATAACGGACCTAAGCTTTATTCTGTATCTAAAAACAGGGATGGGCCTCATGCTGGCTTATAGATCTGCATTTTAGACCAAAGATAGTGTTTGAACCTTGAAGTCCTCTTCATACTTAAAGGGGGCCTTTGTTTGGCCAGGCATGGTGGCTCATGCTGTAATCCCAGCACTTTCGGAGGCCAGTGTGGGAGGATCCCTTGAACTCAGTAGTTCAAGACCAGCCTGAGCCACATAGTGAGACCTCATCTCTATAAAAAAAATTTTTTAATTAACCAGGTATGGTATTGCAGGCCTGTAGTCCTAGCTACCTGAGCCCAAAAGATGGAGGAAGGCTTGAGCCCAGGAGATGAAAGGCTGCAGTAAGTATGTATTGTACCACTGCACTCTAGCCTGGGCGACAGAGTGATACCCTGTTTTTGTTGGTTTTTTTTTGTTTTTTTTAAAGGTGGCTTTTGGCTTGATTGTAGTGCTAACTTGACTATACTATAAAATACTTAATAGATTTTAATTGATTTTCTGGGTTTAGGGAGAACATTCAATGATGTTAAAGCCCCACAGTACTACTGCACTTCATTAACATTGCAGAACCCTCTGTATTTCATATAAGAAATGATACTGCAGGCCGGGCGCGGTGGCTCAAGCCTGTAATCCCAGTACTTTGGGAGGCCGAGGCGGGTGGATCACGAAGTCAGGAGATCGAGACCATCCTGGCTAACATGGTGAAACCCCGTCTCTACTAAAAATACAAAAAAACTAGCCGGGCGCGGTGGCGGGCGCCGGTAGTCCCAGCTACTCGGAGGCTGAGGCAGGAGAATGGCGTAAACCCGGGAGGCGGAGCTTGCAGTGAGCCGAGATCGCGCCACTGCACTCCAGCCTGGGTGACACAGCGAGACTCTGTCTCAAAAAAAAAAAAAAAAAGAAAAGAAAAGAAATGATACTGCAAAGTAGACATCCCTGATTAAGTAACTTGAGATAACTGATCAGTTTTACATGTATTTTACTAGTGTGTACTGAGTAGAAACTAATTAACACCGTCTTAAACTTTGATTATGTTGTTTTCACGAAGAGCAGTCTTTGTTGGCTTTGAAATCATTGCTTCGATATTCTAGAAAATCTTGTTTTTGTTAAACATGGGCAGTAACTTACTATTTTTGTATAGTTGTTGTCATCTTACCACCACCCTGTTTTAAAAGTAAAAAGTAGTTGTCAGATTACTTTGGCTTTTGAAGTACCTTTTCACTTGCCTTAGAATCTTCATTACTTTGAGCCCACACTCCACCTCTTATTGGAACTTCATGAAGAATAATGCTAGATATCACTCTGTCACCCAGGCTAGAGACCAGAGGTCTGATCATAGCTTACTGCACCCTTGACCTCCTGGGTTCAGACAGTCCTCCCACCTTAGCCTCCCAGTTAGCTGGGACTAGGTGCGTGCCATCACACCCAGCTAGTTTTTTTACTTTTTCGTAGAGACAGGGTCTCACTATGTTTCTCAGGCTGATCTCAAACTCTTGGGCTCAAGCAATCCTCCCACCTCAGCCTCCCAAATTGTTGGGATTATAGGCATGAGCACCGCTGTGCCCAGCCCATAACCATTTCTTTTTTTTTTTTTTTTTTTGAGATGGAGTCTATTGCCTCACCTCCCGAGTAGCTGGGATTACAGGTGCCTGCCACCACACCCAACTAATTTTTGTATTTTTAGTAGAGACAGGGTTTCACTGTATTGGCGAGGCTGGTCTCAAACTCCTGACCTCAGGTGATCCACCCGCCTCGGCCTCCCAAAGTGTTGGGATTACAGGTGTGAGCCACTGCACCCGGCCCCCCATAACCATTTCTTATGTGAATCTATTCTCCTGCCAGACCAAACTAGTTGCCAGTGCCCCAGACATGTTGAATAACTTCACACCTTTATACATGCTATGCTTCTTCCAAACAGACTGACTTTATTCAGTATGGTAGGCTCCTACTCCTTCACGATCCAGTTAAAAGCAAGGCATGGTGGTGTGTGCCATAGTCCCATCTAATAGGGAGTCTGAGAGAGGAGGATTGCTTGAGCCCAGGAGTTCAAGACCCATCCTGGTAACATAGCAAGACCATCTCAACTCCAGCTCAGATACTTTCTGTGATGCCTTCCTAACTCTGTTCTTACTCCAGGAGAATGATTTATTCTTCATTCCTACCACAGTACTTCACTAATTAGAGCTCTTGACATTTAACATTGTAGTTACTTATATATAATAAGTTTGCCCTATTCATCTGTCTTTTTTTTTTTTTTTTTTCCTTTGAGTTGGAAGTTTTGCTCTGTTGCCCAGGCTGGAGTGCAATGATGCAATCTTGGCTTACTGCAACCTCTGCCTCCTGGGTTCAATTGATTCTCCTGCCTCAGCCTCCTGAGTAGCTGGGATTACAGGCACCTGCCACCATACCTGGCTAATTTTTGTATTTTTAGTAGAGACAAGGTTTCATCATGTTAGCCAGGCTGATCTCGAACTCTTGACCTCAGGTGATCCACCTGCCTCAGCCTCCCAAAGTGCTGAGATTACAGGTGAGACACTGCGCCTGGGTTTTATTGGTCTTATTCATATAACAACATACTTGGCACATGATAGCCTATCAAACATGTATTGGAAAAAGAAATTACTTATTTCTGTTTAAGCATCCAGATAATCTAGATCTCAATAATAAACAAAAACAGGAAGATGGGGGAAAGAAGATAAGAAAGTTTAGAAATCACCAACCCTGGGCTGGGCGCAGTGGCTCACGCCTGTAATCCCAGCACTTTGGGAGGCCGAGGCAGGCGGATCACAAGGTCAGGAGATCGAGACCATCCTGGCTAACACAGTGAAACCCTGTCTCCACTAAAAAATACAAAAAATTGGCTGGGCGCGGTGGCTCAAGCCTGTAATCCCAGCACTTTGGGAGGCCGAGATGGGCGGATCACGAGGTCAGGAGATCGAGACCATCCTGGCTAACACGGTGAAACCCCGTCTCTACTAAGAAATACAAAAAATAGCCGGGCGAGGTAGCAGCGCCTGTAGTCCCAGCTACTCGGGAGGCTGAGGCCGGAGAATGGCGTGAACCCGGGAGGCAGAGCTTGCAGTGAGCTGAGATCCGGCCACTGCACTCCAGCCTGGGCTACAGAGCGAGACTCCGTCTCAAAAAAAAAAAAAAAAATACAAAAAATTAGCCAGGTGTGGTAGCAGGCGCCTGTAGTCCTAGCTACTCGGGGCTGAGGCAGGAGAGTGGCATGAACCTAGGAGGCAGAGCTTGCAGTGAGCCGAGATTGTGCCATTGCACTCCAGCCTAGGCGGCAGAGCGAGACTCCGTCTCAAAAAAAAAAAAAGAAATTACCAACTCTGGTCCAGGTGCTATGGCCCACACCTATAATCCCAGCACTTTTGGAGGCCGAGGCGGGTGGATCACTTGAGCCCAGGAGTTCGATACCAGCCTAGGCAACATAGTGAGACCCTATCTCCATCAAAAATAAAAAAAATTAGCTGGGTGTGGAGGCACACACCTGTGGTCCCAGCCATTTGGGAGGCTGAAGCAGGAAGATCACTTCAGCCTGGGAGGCAGAGGCTGCAGTGAGCCAAAATCATGCCACTGCACTCCAGCCTGGTCTGTGAGACCCTGTCTCAAATCACCAACTCTGGCCAGGTGCAGTGGTTCATGCCATTCATCCTAGCATTTTGGGAGGCCAAGGCGGGCAGATTGCTTGAGCCCAGGAGTTCAAGACCAGCCTGGGCAACATAGTGAGACCCTGTCTCAATTTTAAAAAGAGAGAAAAAGAAGAAAAGAAATTACTAACTCTTCTATCTGTTCATGCCAACTTCATCACTTTGTACTCTTCTTTCACCTTGCAGGTGGTGAGGATCCAGGAAAGCCAAGCCATGCCATGTTAAAGAATGGCCATACCACCCCTGTAGGGAATGCTACATCATCTAGTCCAGTCCAAGTAGAGGAAGAGCCAGTAAGATTAGCAAGTCTTAGGAAAGCTATTCCAGAAGAGGACCTAAAGAAACGACTAGGTAAGAAACTCTGGATTTTTGAGTTTAAGAGCCATGAGCCAGTTATTCTCCATTACATAAGGAGTTTGCAAGAGAATAGGGAAAAGTAAAATCTAGAGAGAATTACATTCTCCTTTAGCAATACCTTAATTAGCAACTTTAAGGGGAATTTCCTCCCCTGCTCCACTTTTATTCACAAAATACCAAATTTGTGATCCTCAAGAAGGGAAGAGGATGTTTAGTATCAGATACCTATAGGATTTTTTCCAGCTACACATTCCACTTCTTTCACCCAAGGAATTTTGTTGTGGCTCTCCTCCAGTAGCCTAGCCCTCGTGTGAAGAATCACTACCACAATGAGCATCTCTTACTGAGCCTTTCTTACTGACATTTCCTAAGTATGGGGAGGTTGGGAGGCATCGAGAACGGTAACCTATGAGCTAATCTATAAATTAATTGGTGAAATTGGCCATAAATTCATAGATGTGTTAGCTTTTTCAGTCTCTCTTGTTACTCTCTCTTCCCTTTTTATATCATACATGTTATTACACAGGCTCAACTGGAAGCCAGCCTAGTTCTGAAGCAGAGTCTGTTCCTGAGAATGTACCCAAACAACCTTTACTTCCTCCCAAAAGACCCTTGTCCTCTTCTCATGAAGCAAATGAAGGTCAAGCAAAGGATGCCACTTCCTCTGGCGGCATGGCAAGGTTCATCATCTCCACCTCCATCACCACAGCACCCGCTGCCACCACTGCTGCCACAAGCCTCGCAAAGACTGTTAATCTGTCTGTCACTCCTTCCCCAGCACCCAGGATTCTGCCTGCTACTCCTGCCAGCACTAACACTACTGCTACCTTAAGCCTCACTCATATGGTCCCTGCCAAGCAGCCCCCTATCCCTCCCCCTAAACCAGCTCACAGAAATAGCAACCCTGTCATTGGTAAGTAAGTCTTTAGGCTTCTGGTGTTTTGGGTTTGGTTTGATGTTGGATGGTTATTTTATTGGATAACTGGTATAATATTGATAGTCTCTGAGAATTTTCCATATCTTGTCCCTTTGAATGACCTCAATATGGAGAAAAGTCTTAGGTTAAGAAAAAATAGGCTGGGTGCAGTGGCTCACGCCTGTAATCCCAGCACTTTGGGAGGCCGAGGTGGGTGGATCACAACAAGGTCAGGAGATCGAGACCATCCTGGCTAACATGGTGAAACCCCGTCTCTACTAAAAATACAAAAAATTAGCTGGGCGTGGTGGCACATGCCTGTAGTCACAGCTACTTGGGAGGCTGAGGCAAAAGAATTGCTTGAACGCAGGAGGCGGAAGTTGTAGTGAGCCAAGATTGTGCACTCCAGCCTGGGCGACAGAGAGAGACTCCGTCTCAAAAAAACAAAAACAAACAAAAAAAGTCATGAAACTGAGGCAGATGGCCATAAATGTAAACATCACTAAGATTAGATTTAAGTTTGGGGGGTTTTAATCTACTTTTTAATCTAATATTTAATCTGTTTTTCTAAAACAATGATTCCAAAACACTATATTTGTGTGTGTGTGTGTGTGTGTGTGTGTATAGTTGGACTGGATATGTGAAGACCATAACAGATTCCACCTGCATGGAGTTATCTGTGGCACTTGTGAAAAAATTAGAATAATGCCTCAGCTCACAAGGGGCAAGGCAAACTTTTCAAATGAAAATTTGTTTAATCTACTTAAAACTACCTATGCCTTCCATAAGCATAAATGAGTCTAGTAGATAAAAGGATGATTCTGTAGATGTCAGTGGAACTTGGGATTCAGTGTCTGGCATAGTTATTTTCATAGGGAACTGCAGAAGGTATTACTTAAATTGTTCTGAGAAAATCATGTTTTATCTTGGGAGAGTTAAGAATGCTATTCTTATATTAAAATAAGTGATGGTAGAGAAAGCAGGTAACATAATCAGTAAATTTGTATGGGTTTAGTAAATTTTTTGCATTTACCCAAAGTTCTATTTAAGTCTACTTTCTTTATATAAATGTACAGTTTCTTAGAAGAATTTTCAAGAAAGGGAGAGGAAAGCTAATGAGTGCTTCAAAGCTAATAAAAATATAGTTTTTTCAGGAAAAATGATACTAGGCTTAGTACTGCTTAAAGTTCTTGTTCAGGATTGAATGAATGAATAAAAACTATACTCATTAAATATTTAATATCACCAAGTTGGGTGGAGTGATTCAAACCTTGAAAAACAGGCTTAGAATATTTTATGAGTATGACAGTTTGGAGTAGCTTGATGAAAACAGGGTGAAGTTGTTATTACCACCACTTTGGAAGGATAGTGTCATGTTGACTTATCTGTGAGGAACTTGGGGAGCCTTCACATACTTATTTTCAAAACTACCTTGTGCTGCAGGAAACCGATTTTATCTTTTCTATAGGTAGGGCAATTAGAACATGAAGACATTGTGTGTGATTCATTCAAGGTTGTAGGCCGGGCGTGGTGACTCATGCCTGTGATCCCAGCACTTTGGGAAGCAGATCACCTGAGGTCAGGAGTTCAAGACTAGCCTGGCCAACATGGCGAAACCCCATCTCCACTAAAAATACAAAAAATTAGCTGGGCATGGTGGCAGGCACCTGTAATCCCAGCTACTCGGGAAGCTGAGGCAGGAGAATTGCTTGAACCCGGGAGGCAGACACTGCAGTGAGCTGAGATTGTGCCACTGCACTCCAGCCTGGGCAACAAGAGCGAAACTCCATCTCAAAAAAAAAAAAAAAAAAGGTTTTAGTTAGTGAAAGATAGAAACTGAACATAGGCTTTTCAACTCTCAGGTCCAGACCTCTGTTCCTTACAGTAGTGTTCGCAAACTGGTGTTCTCCTCAGGATCACCTAGAAAGCTTATGATAACAGACTGCTGGATGCTTCCCCTAGAGTTTCTGATTTTAGTAAGTCTGAGATGGGCTTGAGAATTTGCCTTTCTAATAGGTTCCCAGATGATACTGATGTTGCTGTCCAGGGAGCACACATTGAGAGCCTCTGTGCTAGACCAGTGGAATACCACCCTTTTCAAATTAAGGCAACATATAAAATGATCATTTGTGTATGATACCCTGGACTACACTGCAGAGCTCATTCTTGGCTTGAGGTAAATAGACCTTGTAACTGAGGACCTTGTAACTGAGGAATCAGTATTAGTCCATGAGGGGTCCTCAGCAGAAGAAGAAAAATAGAACAGTTCACAGAGCATTACTTAGAGCTAAATAGATTTAATTTAACGGACTCTCTTTTATTCTAAAATTATAATCTTCGTAATCCTTTGGGGTTAAAATGCCATTTCTTTCACAAAAGGATTATGTTCATAAATGGTTTACTTAATATCAAGCCTTATTTGGAAATCTTAGAAAATGACAACCTCAATAAAAAAACTAGAAAAAAAAAACCAACAATCTAAGGTTGATCAAGATTTTTTTTATTGTTTTAGTCACTGAAATCCAAAAGTTTGGAAACCATTGCTTCAGAAGTACTACTGTCTTCTCATTGGTATAACATGGAGTATTAGGACTAAGGAAAAACTACCAGCAATAGCTGAACAGGTGAAAGAGAATTATTACCCATCCCAGAAACACTCTGGAATTTTTCCACAAAACTACAGCCAGATGCTGTTGTCAGGGTATATGTACCGGAATTTACTTCCTTAACATATATGCCTTCCTCAGATTACCAAATATAATTTATCTTATTAATTCAAAAGTAAAAATATTCATTTATGGTCTCATCAGGAATGAGTTTTGTTGTAGATGGAATAGCTAACAGCTGTTTTTAGAGAATCAGCAAAAATCCAATCTTTCCAAAAATATATCTTTCACTGCTCCTAAAATTCATATTTTTAGAATCTTTTTGTGTATGTATGAAGTGTTTTTCTAGAAAGCCTTTTTAAAAATTTATTAATGGGCCCAGGCACGGTGGCTCACGCCTGTAATCCCAGCACTTTGAGAGACCAAGGAGGGCAGATTGCTTGAGGCCCAGAGTTTGAGACCAGCCTAGGCAACATGGTGAAACCCCATCTCTACTAAAACTACAAAAAATGATCTGGGCATGGTGGTGCATGCCTGTAATCCCACCTACTCAGGAGGCTGAGGCAGGAGAGTCGCTTGAACCCGGGAAGTGGCGGTTGCATTGAGCCAAAACTGCACCACTGTACTCCAACCTAGGCAACAGAGCGAGACTCTGTCTCAAAAAAAAAAAAAGAAAGAAAGAAAGAAAGTATTTATAATGAGTGACATTAAAACATTATAAAATTAGGCCAGGCACAGTGGCTCATGCCTATAATCCCAGCATTTGGGGAGGCCGAGGTGGAAAGATCACTTGAGGCCAGGAGTTCGAGACCAGCCTGAGCAACGTAGCAAGACCCCATCTCTATAAAATATTTAAAAATTAGCTGGGCATGGTGACATGTGCCTGTAATTCTAGCTACTTGGGAGGTTGAAGTAAGAGGATTGGGTAAGCACAGGAGTTCAAGGCTGCAGTGAGTTATGATTACACTACTGCACTCCAGCCTGGGTAACAGAGCGACATCCTGTCTCTAAAAAAAAAAAAAAGGCTGGGTACGGCTGGTTGGCTCACACCTGTAGTACCAACACTTTGGGAGGTTGAGGCAGGTAGAATGTTTGAGACCAGCCTAGACAATGTGGAGAAACCTATCTCTACAAAAAGTAACCCCCAAAAAATTAGCTGGGCATGGTGGCACATGTCTATAGTCCCAGCTACTTGGGAGGCTGAGGTAGGAGGATCACCTGAGCCCAGGGAGGTTAAAACTGAAGTGAGCCGTGACTGCACCACTGCACTCCAGTGACACAGTGAGACCCTGTCTAAAATAATTTAATTTAAAAAGAAAAAGAAAGGCCGGGCGCGGTGGCTCAAGCCTGTAATCCCAGCACTTTGGGAGGCCGAGGCGGGTGGATCACGAGGTCAGGAGATCGAGACCATCCCTGGCTAACATGGTGAAACCCCGTCTCTACTAAAAATACAAAAAACTAGCCGGGCGTGGTGGCGGGCGCCTGTAGTCCCAGCTACTCGGAGGCTGAGGCAGGAGAATGGCGTGAACCCAGGAGGCGGAGCTTGCAGTGAGCCGAGATCGCACCACTGCACCCCAGCCTGGGCGACACAGCGAGACTCCGTCTCAAAAATAAATAAATAAAAAAGAAAAAGAAAAAGAAAAGAAGCTGGGTGTGGTGGCTCACATCCATAATCCCAGCACTTTGGGAGGCTGAGGTGGGCCTATCACTGGAGCCCAGGAGCTCAAGACCAGCCTGGGCAGCACAGCGAGACCTTGTCTCTACTAAAAATTAAAATTTAGCCAAGCATGGTGGCATCGACCTGTAGTCCTAGCTACTTGGGAGGCTGTAGCAAGAGGATCACTTCAACCCAGGAGATCGGGGCTACAGTGAGCTATTATTCATGCCACTGCACTCCAGCCTGGGCAACAGAGGGAGACCTTGTTTCAGAAGAAAAAAGAAGAATTACAAAATTAGCTAGCCTTGGCCGGGCACAGTGGCACACACCTGTAATCCCAGCACTTTGGGAGGCCGAGGTGGGTGGATCACCTGGGGTCGGGAGTTCAAGACCAGCCTGACCAACAGAGAAACCTGTCTCTACTAAAAATACAAAAAATTAGCCGGGCCTGGTGGCGCATGCCTATAATCCCAGCTACTTGGGAGGCTCAGGTAGGAGAATCACTTGAACCTAGGAGGTAGACGTTGTGGTTAACTGAGATGGTGCCATTGCACTCCAGCCTGGGCAGCAAGAGCGAAACTCCGTCTCAAAAAAGAAAAAAATATTTAGCCTTTTACTTTGAACGTCTCCAATTTTTGGGATTTAGGACAAATACAGTTTTATTTAAGGGAAGTTTTTGAGACCATTTGAGAATACTGAATGGGATGAAAATAAAAATAAAGGGTTTGAGTAGGTTACAGGTTGGTGATCAAAAGAACTACTTTTTTTTTTTTTTTTTTTTTTTTTTTGCTTTCAGCAGGGAAAAAATGACTACTCTAATTATTTTACCAGTTTTGCTCCTGTGTGATCTAATGATCCACTTTTACAGGTCTTCTGCAGCCCTCCAAAGGAATTTTGCTGAAACAACAACACCTTTGCTGAGTCATTGTGGGCTTTGGTGAAACCATAGGAATATATACTGTCATGATACAGGGTGAGGGCTTCTCATCTCATAAGCATATATTGAGGGTCCACTAGATGCCAGGTACTGTGCACAGCCTTGTGGATGATATGTTGATGGAGACAAGGTTGCCCTGCCATCAAGGAGCCCATCATATAGTGGAGAGTGAACATGGGAAGCTGAGGTGCAAAGGGAACATAAGAGGTGTACACAGTAATAAAAATTAGAGACAGTAGGCCGGGCGCGGTGGCTCACACCTGTAATCCCAGCACTTTGGGAGGCCAAGGTGGGCAGATCACGAGGTCAGGAGATTGAGACCATCCTGGCTAACACAGTGAAACCCCATCTCTACTAAAAATACAAAAAAAAATTAGCTGGGCTTGGTGGCAGGCACCTGTAATCCCAGCTACTCGGGAGGCTGAGGCAGGAGAATGGCGTGAACCCAGGAGGCAGAGCTTGCAGTGAGCCGAGATCGTGCCACTGCACTCCAGCCTGGGTGACAGAGTGAGACTCTGTCTCAAAAAAAGTAAAATAAAAAAAGTAATAAATAGAGACAGTAGGATGCAGTCAAATAGTCAGAGACCTGGATACTAGCTGAGTCCATGCCAGTTTGTAGTACGATCTTGGGCAAAGTCGCCTAACTTCTGTGGCCTCGCTTTTTCCTTCTGAAAAATGGTAAAGATGCTATCTTGTTTCCCCTGTCACCTCAGGTGGTAGAAGGAGAATATGACTTCAAGGACAGAAAACACTGATTTATTCAAAGGACTTTGCAATTGCTATAAAAATTCAAGATGTCGGCCGGGCGCGGTGGCTCAAGCCTGTAATCCCAGCACTTTGGGAGGCCGAGGCGGGCGGATCACAAGGTCAGGAGATCGAGACCACAGTGAAACCCCGTCTCTACTAAAAATACAAAAAATTAGCCGGGCACGGTGGCGGGCACCTGTAGTCCTAGCTACTCAGGAGGCTAAGGCAGGAGAATGGCGTGAACCCAGGAGGCGGAGCTTGCAGTGAGCCGAGATCGCGCCACTGCACTCCAGCCTGGGCAACAGCGTGAGACTCCGTCTCAAAAAAAAAAAAAAAAAAATTCAAGATGTCAGTATTGATAGTTTTATAACACAGAGCTGAGATATTGAGATATCATTATCAGGATATGGTAACAATACCCACTAATACTTATTTTATGCTATCTGAATGTTTAAATTTTTTAATGGAGTACTGTTATACAAAATAACCTTTTTTTTTTTTTTTTTTTTTTTTGAGTCAGAATCTTGTGCTGTCCAGCCTGGAATGTGGTGGCGTGACCTTGGCTCACTGCAGCCTCTGCCTCCCAGGTTCAAGAGATTCTCGTACCTCAACCTCTCCCGAGTAGCTGGGATTACAGGTGCCTGCCACTACACCTAGCTAATTTTGGGGTTTTTTTTGTTGTTGTTTTTGTTTTTTAAGTAGATGGGGTTTCATCATGTTGGCCAGGCTGGTCTCGAACTCCTGACCTCAAGTAATCTGCCCACCTCGGCCTCCCAAAGTATTGGGATTACAGGCGTGAGCCACCGTGCCCAGCCACAAAATAACTTTTTGTTGGATGTTTTTGTCTCTATTCATATTAACTACACAAAGATCAAATTACAAAAAGTTGTCAGCCAGGTGCCGTGGCTCACGCCTGTAATCCCAACACTTTGAGAGGCCAAGGCAGGTGGATCATTTGAGGTCAGGAGTTTGAGACCAACCTGGCCAACATGGTGAAACCCCATCTCTACTAAAAATACAAAAATTAGCCGGGCCATAGTGGCATGTGCCTGTAATCTCAGCTACTTGGTAGGCTGAGGCAGGAGAATCACTTGAGCCTGGGAGGCAGAGGTTGCGGTAAACCGAGATCGTGCGCACTGCACTCCAGTCTGGGTGAAAGAGTGAGACCCTGTCTGGAAAAAAAAAAAAAATTGTCATATCTGTTGCCATAGCAATGAAGTAAGCTACTCATCAGTCTTCCTACACCTCTGTACATTTATTAGGCCTTCTATTTGAATAAATATAAACTTCGTTTCAGGATAAAATATGTAGGGAATGGCAAAACTATGAAATTATTTAACTTGCTTGAAAGATTAAAACTGAACTCAACTTTAATTCTAGGCCCTGGGCCAGCCCTTCAAAGCATTGGAAAGTCATGTGAAATTCATGTGTTGCTCTCTCTTTTCCAGCTGAACTGTCCCAAGCAATAAACAGTGGTACATTGTTATCAAAACCGTCCCCACCCTTACCACCTAAGAGAGGCATTCCATCGACCTCAGTACCCACCTTGGAGGCTGCTGCTGCCATCACCACAAAAACACCAAGTGATGAAAGAGAGAAGAGCACATGTTCTATGGGCTCAGAACTGCTATCAATGATCTCACCTCGCTCTCCGTCCCCCCCACTGCCTGCTCATATACCTCCAGAGCCTCCACGCACCCCTCCATTCTCTGCTAAGACTTTTAAAGTTGTGCCAGAAATTGAGTTTCCACCATCCATAGATCTACACCAGGAGATTCCCCAGCAGGAAGATCAGAAAAAGGAAGTCCCCAAGAGGATATTGGACCAGAACTTTGGGGAGCCCCATATACCCTCTAGGTTGCCTCCACTCCCACTGCATATTCGAATCCAGCAGGCCCTCACCAGCCCACTTCCCATGACTCCTCCTCTGGAGGGTTCTCACAGAGCTCACTCGTTGCTCTTTGAAACCAGTGACGGCTTTTCTGAGGACAGCAGTACGCTGGGTCGGACCAGGTCTCTTCCCATCACTATTGAAATGCTGAAAGTGTAAGTGCCTTTGAAGCTTGCCTCTTGTTTCTCCTTTACTCTAGATAGCCCTGCTTGGAAAAAATTACTCATAGAAAGAAAATGTGGGCCGGGCACGGTGGCCCACACCTGTAAGCCCAGCACTTTGGGAGGCTGAGGCGAATGGATTGATCACCTGAGGTCAGGAGTTCAAGACTAGCCTGGCCAATATAGTAAAGCCCTGTCTCTATGAAAATAACAAAAATTAGCCAGGCGTGGTGGCGCATACCTGTAATCCCAGCTACTTGGGAGGCTGAGGCAGGAGAATCGCTTTAACTGGGAGGTGGAGGTTGCAGTGAGCCAAGATTGTGCCACTGTACTCCAGCCTGGGCGACAGCGAGATTCTGTCTCAAAGAAAAAAAGAAAATGTGAATAAAGTTTTTTTTTTTTTTTCCCGAGATAGAGTCCTGCTCTGTCACCCAGGCTGGAATGCAGTAGCACAATCTCAGCTTACTGTAACCTCTGTCACCCAGGTTCAAGTGGTTCTCCTGCCTCAGCCTCCCGAGTAGCTGGGATTACAGGCATGTGCTACCACATCCAGCTGATTTTTGCATTTTTAGTGGAGATGGGGTTTCACCATGTTGGCCAGGGTGGTCTCAAACTCCTGACCTCAGGTGATCCACCCATCTTGGTCTTACAAAGTGCTGCGATTACGAGCGTGAGCCACCACACCCAGCAATGTGAATAAATTTAAAGTACAAAGAATACTCTGCCAAAAGGATAAGTTATAGAATTTGGACTCTTTCTTTTTTTAATCTTAAAACTTTATTTTTATTTATTTATTTATGTTTGAGACAGGTTCTCACTCTCTCACCCAAGCTGGAGTGCAGTGGTGCAGTCTTGGCTCACTGCAACCTCCACCTCCTGGGTTCAAGCCATTCTCCCTCCTCAGCCTCCCGAGTAACTGTGACTACAGGCGCATGCCATCACACCCAGCTAATTTTTGTATTTTTTGTTAGAGATGGGGTTTTGCTGTGTTGCCCAGGCTGGTCGTGAACTCCTGGGCTCAAGCAGTCTGCCTGCCTCAGCCTCATAGAATGCTGGGATCATGGGTGTGAGCCACTGCGCCTGGCCAAATTTCAACTTTTTACTCTCGTGATTTTTTTTTTCATGGAGATTTTTGTGATGACACAAAATTTACAAAATTATGTACATAAAAAATTACAACTGTTAGTTTTATATACTACAGAGAAGGCATTGTATAATGTGGTGCTTAAGAGCATTCACCTTGGAGTGAGATAGCGCTGGGTTCAAATTGCAGCACTACCACTCTTACCTTATAGTAATGTTAAGTTACTTAAGCCTTCTGCTCTTTAGTTATATCATCTCTAAATGGGAATAATATTTACTCTGTAGGCTTGTGAGAATGACATTAGACAAATGCTGGAAAGCACCAGTGCCTAATAAGTGGTAAAGCTGGAATTTGAACCCTTAGTTTAATACCTGCTAAAAAGTTTTTTAGCAAGATTGTTAAAGTTAAGGGAGAATGGCCGGGTGTGGTGGCTCACGCCTGTAATCCCAGCACTTTGGGAGGCCGAGGTGGGCGGATCACGAGGTCAGAGATCAAGACCATCCTGGCTAACACGGTGAAACCCCGTCTCTACTAAAAAAAAAAATACAAAAAATTAGCCGGGCGTGGTGGCAGGCGCCTGTAGTCCCAGCTACTCGGGAGACTGAGGCAGAATGGCGTGATCCCGGGAGGCGGAGCTTGCAGTGAGCCGAGATCGTGCCACTGCACTCCAGCCTGGGCGACAGAACGAGACTCTGTCTCAAAAAAAAAAAAAAGTTAAGGGAGAGAATTATAAGTTACTTCATAGATTTTCTTTTTTTTTTTTTATGGTTATTTCAGTCCTTTTGTCTTTTTTTTTTTTTTTTTTGAGACGGAGTCTCGCTCTCGTCACCCAGGCTGGAGTGCAATGGCACAATCTCGGTTCACTTCAACCTCCGCCTCCTGGGTTCAAGAGATCCTCCTGCCTCAGCCTCCCAAGTAGCTGGGATTACAGGTGCCCACCACTATGCCTGGCTAATTTTTGTATTTTTAGTAGAGACAGGGTTTCACCATGTTGGCCAGGCTGGTCTCAAACTCCTGACCTCAGGTGAATTTCCCCATCTCCATCTCCCAAAGTGCTGGGATTACAGGTATGAGCCACTATGCCCAGACTTTATTTCAGTCCTTTGTCTTAAAAGTCAGTTATCCTTGGCCGGGCGCGGTGGCTCAAGCCTGTAATCCCAGCACTTTGGGAGGCCGAGATGGGCGGATCACGAGGTCAGGAGATCGAGACCATCCTGGCTAACACGGTGAAACCCCGTCTCTACTAAAAATACAAAAAATTAGCCGGGCGAGGTGGCGGGCGCCTGTAGTCCCAGCTACTCGGGAGGCTGAGGCAGGAGAATGGCGTGAACCCAGGAGGCGGAGCTTGCAGTGAGCTGAGATCCGGCCACTGCACTCCAGCCTGGGCGACAGAGCGAAACTCCATCTCAAAAAAAAAAAAAAAAAAAAAAAGTCAGTTATCCTCTTTGTTTCTAAAAAGAAAATATAATTATGTTAATTTGTTAGTCCAGACGATGAAGAAGAGGAGGAGCAAACCTGTCCATCCACATTCAGTGAAGACATAACATCTACCTCAGTCATTTCTAAATTACCACAGTGTGTACAGGAGGAAGAAGAGAAGGAGAGCGACTCTGATTCAGAAGGTCCCATTCAGTACCGAGATGAAGAAGATGAAGATGAAAGCTATCAGAGTAAGAAAGGGAGGGAAAAGCAAAAGGGAAAATTCTTTTCCAGATAAAGCTATTTGCTGATCTTAGCAAGTGTCAAAAGAGATATGGAAACAGGTACCTTCTCCCATTAACTCATCTGGCTAACTGATGTTGGAAGCCACTGTGAAGTACTCCTTGTCCCTGTTATCACCCCTCTGATAAAACAAGCCAAGACAGGGATCCAAGTAGATTGAGTCACTCAGTTAGGTTTTTCGGGGTTTTTAAATTTATTTATTTATTTTTTTTTTTGGACAAGGTTTTGCTCTGTCACCCAGCTGGAGTACAGTGGTGCAATTGTAGTTCACTGCAGCCTTGAACTCCTGGGCTTAAGTGATCCTTACTCCTCAACCTCCCAAATAGCTAGGACTACAGATGTGTGCCACAACTGGTTAGGTTTCTTTGGTTTTTTGTTTTGTTTTGTAGAGATGGGTCTCGTTATGTTGCCTAGTCTGTTCTTTTTTTTTTTTTTTGAGATGGAATTTTGCTCTTGTGCCCAGGCTAGAGTGCAATGGCACAATCTCAGCTCACCTTAATCTCCACCTCCCAGGTTCAAGTGATTCTCCTGCCTCAGCCTCCCAAGTAGCTGGGATTACAGGCATGTGCCACCATGCCTGGCTAATTTTGTATTTTTAGTAGAGATGGGCTTCACCACATTGGTCAGGCTGGTCTCAAACTCCCGACCTCAGGTGATCCACCTGCCTCAGCCTCCCAAAGTGCTGGAATTACAGGCGTGAGCCACCGCGCCTGGCCATAAAGGATTTTTATTTTATTTTATTTTATTTTATTTTGAGAAGGAGTCTTGCTCTGTCACCCAGTCTGGAGTGCAGTGGCACGATCTCAGCTCACTGCAACCTCCACCTCCCGGGTTCAAGCAATTCTCCTGCCTCAGCCTCCCAAGTAGCTGGGATTACAGGCGCCTGCCACCAGGCCCAGCTAATTTTTTTTTGTATTTTTAGTAGAGGCCGGGGCTTCACCATATTGGCCAGGCTGGTCTCGAACTCAATCTCATGATCTGCCCACCTCCCAGAGTTCTGAGATTACAGGCGTGAGCCACTGTGCCCAGCTGCCCAGGCTGTTCTTGAACTCCTGACCTCATGTGATCCCCCTGCCTTGACCTCCCAAAGCTCTAGGATTACAGGCATGGGCCACCATGCCTAGCCTATTTTTAATTTTTATAGCTATATAATAGTAGTACATTTTTATGGGGTACATGAGATATTTTGATATAAGCATGTGTGTATGGGTAATCAGGGTATCCATCACCTCAAACACTTACCATTTGTTTGTATTGGGAATATTCCAAATCTACCTTTCTGGTTATCTTGAAATATACAATAAATTATTGTTAACTATAGTCACCCTATTGTGCCACCGAACACTAGATCTTATTCCTGTTTTTTGAGAGTGTCTCACTTTGCAGGCTGGAGTGCAGTGGCACAGTCTCAGCTCACTGGAACCTCCATTTCCTGGCTCAAGTGATGCTCCCGCCTCAGCCTCCTAAGTAGCTGAGAACACAGGCATGAGCCACCACACCCAGCTAATTTTTGTATTTTTTTGTAGAGACAGGGTTTCACCATGTTGCCCAGGCTGGTCTTGAACTCGTGAGCTCAAAGTGATCTGCCCACCTCAGCTCCCAAAGTGCTGCAATTACAGGCATGAGCCACCACACCCGGCCTAGATCTTATTCCTTCTATCTAATTATATTTTTATACCCATTAACCAGTCTTTCTCTCCCCCATCCCCTCTACCCTTCCCAACCTCTAGTAACCACCATTTTATTTATTACCTCTGTGAGATCAACTTTTTTAGCTCCCACGTAAGAGTGAGAACATACAACATTTATCTTTCTGTGCCTGGCTTATTTCACTTAACATAATGTCCTCCAGTTTCATCCATTTTGTTGCAATTACAAATTGCAACAAATTACAGGATTTATTTCTTTTTCATGGCAGAATAATATTCAATTGTGTATATACACCATGTTTTCTTTATCCCTTCGTTTATTGATAGACACTTAGTCTGATTCCATATCTTGGGGATTATAAATAGTACTGCAATAAGGATGACATTGATTTGATGATTTCCTTTCCTATATATATATATATATATATATATATATATTTTTTTTTTTTTTTTTTTAAGTAGACGGAGGCTCACTCTGTTATCAGGCAGGAGTGCAGTGGCTTTTTCTCAGCTCACTGCAACCTCTGCCTCCCGGGTTCGAGCGATTCTTCTGCCTCAGCCTCTCAAGTAGCTGGGATTACAGGTGTGTACCACCACACCCAGCTAATTTTAGTTTTTTGTTTGTTTGTTTGTTTGTTTGTTTGTTTTAGTATAGACGGGGTTTCACCATGTTGGCCGGGATGGTCGCGATCTCTTGATCGTGACCGAGTGATCCACCCACCTTGGCCTCCCAGAGTGCTGGGATTACAGGCATGAGCCACTGCGACTGGCCCAGTAGTTGTATTTTTAAGGGTGTTTTGTTGGTCTTGTTTTGTTTTTTAAGTAGAAACGGAGTCTTGCTGTGTTGCCCAGACTGATCTCAAACTCCCAGCCTCAAGCAATCTTCCTGCCTTGGCTTCCCAATGTGCTGCATTACGAGCATGAGCCACCTTATTTGGCCTATTTTCAGTCTTTTGAGGAACCTCCATACTGTTTTCCATAATGGCTGTACTAATTTCAGGTTTTTGTTTGCCCCCAATTTTATTTTATTTTTTTTTTTTTGAGACGGAGTCTCGCTCTGTCGCCCAGGCTGGAGTGCAGTGGCCGGATCTCAGCTCACTGCAAGCTCCGCCTCCTGGGTTCACGCCATTCTCCTGCCTCAGCCTCCCGAGTAGCTGGGACTACAGGCGCCCGCCACCTCGCCCGGCTAGTTTTTTGTATTTTTTTTAGTAGAGACGGGGTTTCACCGTGTTAGCCAGGATGGTCTCGATCTCCTGACCTCGTGATCCGCCCGTCTCGGCCTCCCAAAGTGCTGGGATTACAGGCTTGAGCCACCGCGCCCGGCCTGCCCCCAATTTTAAAACTATTCACCTAAGTGCCTCTAATCCCAGCACTTTGGGAGGCTGAGGTGGGTGAGATTAGTAGTTTGAGACCAGCCTGGCCAACATGGTGAAACCCCATCTCTTCTAAAAATACAAAAAATTAGCTGGGCATGGCCAGGCACGGTGGCTCATACCTATAATCCCAGCACTTTGGGAGGCCGAGGCAGGCGGATCACCTGAGGTCAGGAGTTCAAGATCAGCCTGGCCAACATGGTGAAACTACGTCTCTACTAAAAATAAAAAATTGGCTGAGCATGGTAGCAGGTGCCTGTAATCCCAGCTACTAAGGAGGCTGAGGCAGGAGAATTGCTTGAACCCGGGAGGCAGAGGTCGCAGTGAGCCAAGACTGCACCACTACAATCCAGCCTGGGTCACAGAGCAAGACTCCATTGCAAAAAAAAAAAAAAAAAATTAGCCAGGCGTGGTAGCGGGCACCTGTAACCCCAGCTACTCAGTAGGCTGAGGCAGGAGAATTGCTTGAGCCTGGGAGGTGGAGGTTGCAGTGAGCCAAGATCGTGCCACTGCACTCCAGCCTGGGTGAGAGAGCAAGACTCCATCTCAAAAACAAACAAACAAAAAAAAAGGCCAGGCACGGTGGCTTACGCCTGTAATCCCTACACTTTGGGAGGCCGAGGTGGGTGAATCACCTGAGGTCAGGAGTTCAAGACCAGCCTGGCCAACATGATGAAACCCCGTCTCTACTAAAACTACAAAAAATTAGCTGGGCGTGGTGATGCACGCCTATAATCCCAGCTACTCAGGAGGCTAAGGCAGGAGAATCACTTGAACCCAGGAGGCGGAGATTGCAATGAGCCAAAATCGTGCCACTGCACTCCAGCCTAGGCAACAAGAGCAAAAACTCCGTCTCAAAGGAAAAAATAAAACAATATGGAGTAGAGGAAAGGTAGCACATGGGCTAAAAGATAAAAGTGATGTTTTCCCTTTGGTCTAATGAACTTATTGCCATAGGGCAGAGAAAAATAAACATGTTCATACCCGCACATCTTTGCAAATAACTGAATCTTGATAAAGTAGAAAGGCAGCTTTAAAAACAGACTATGGGGTGTTAGTATGAAAGCCTTTATGTTTTAATTCAGAGGGCTGTCCCATGCTTAGATTCTCTCTCCTGTCGCAACTCTTATCAAGGAGGAAAAATGTAGAGGCCTGATAGAAGAGAAAAGATACCTTTTAACCATCTGAGTCCATCTGGCTAAAAAGATTTTTAGGTGTCTTTAGCTTTACCCCCACCTCAGTGTCTGGCTGGATCATTTGAGGCCAGGTGGGAACTGGGAATTAAATATTGTATTTGTTCAGACTCTTGCCTAGCTCTAGGTAAGGTTGAACCTTTCGCTTTAAGCCTCAAGTTCTACTATTTTTCTTCCCTGTGTGCAAAGGTGCTCTCGCCAACAAAGTGAAGAGGAAAGACACACTGGCAATGAAGTTGAACCACAGACCCAGTGAACCAGAGTTGAACCTGAATTCTTGGCCTTGTAAAAGCAAGGAGGAGTGGAATGAAATACGGCACCAGATTGGAAACACACTGATCCGGTAGGCCTTTGCTTAGATTCGCTTGATTGATTTGGTTATGCCAGTATTTGTGTTAGATGTTGTTAGATGTGTTGGTTTTTTATTTTGTTTTGTTTTGTTTTTTTGAGACAGTCTTGCTCTGTCACCCAGGCTGGAGTACAGTGGCGCGATCTCAGCTCACTGTAACCTCCATCTCCCAGGTTCAAGCAATTCTCGTGCCTCAGTCTCCTGAGTAGCTGGGGTTATAGGCACCCGCCACCACGCCAGGCTAATTTTGTATTTTTAGCAGAGACAGGGTTTCGCCATGTTCACCAAGCTGGTCTCGAACTGCTGGCCGCAAATGATCACCCACCTTGGCCTCCCAAAATGCTGGGATTACAGGCATGATCCCCTATACCTAGCCTATATGTTTACTTTGTCATGGAGTATTCATTTATCTTTTTTAGTGTAATTTTTTGAACCACTGGAGTGCAGTGGTTCGATCATGGCTCACCGCCTCCAACTCTTGGGTTCAAGGCACCCTCCCACCTCAGCCTCTTGAATAGCTGGGTCCTCAGGCATGCGCCACCATGCCCTGCTAATTTTTATAATTTTTTGTAGAGACAGGGTCTGTGTTTCCCAGGCTGGTCTCAAACTCATGGCCTCAAACATTCCTCCCACGTTGCTCTCTGAAAGTCTTGGGATTGTAGGTGTGAGCCACCACACCCATCATTTTGAGTATAATTTTTAAAAATACATACTGGGTTTTGTATGAAAGGTGAGAAGGTTAGCACTCCACTTGACAAGGATGGAGAGTCCCTTTGGGCCTGACAACACACATACAAGGCATTGCCATCTACCACGTAGCATCTAACTTTATAAAAAAAAAAAAGAAAGAAAAGAGGCTGTGTGCGGTGGCTCATGCCTATAATCCTAGCACTTTGGGAGGCCAAGACAGGCAGATCATCTGAGGTCAGGAGTTCAAGACCAGCGTGACCAATACGGTGAAACCCCATCTCTACTAAAAATACAAAAATTAGCCAGGCATGGTGGCATGCGCCTATAGTCCCAGCTACTCGGGAGGCTGAGGCAGGAGAATTGCCTGAACCCAGGAGGCGGAGGCTGCGGTGAGCCGAGATTGCGCCACTGTACTCCAGCCGGGGTGACAGAGTAAGACTCTGTCTCAAAAAAAAAAAAAGAAGAAGAAAAGAAAAGAAACAAAAAATATATTGTATACAGTTGGGTATCCTCTAAGAATTTGGAAATTGAAGGTGTAGCTGCCTGTGAGAGCTTTATTTTGTTTTATTTGATTTTATTTTTTTTTTTTTGAGACAAAGTCTCGCTCTGTCGCCCAGGCTGGAGTGCAGTGGCGCCATCTCGGCTCACCGCAGCCTCCACCTCCAGGGTTCAAGCAATTCTTCTGCCTCAGCCTCCCGAGTAGCTGGGACTACAGGCGCCCACCACCACGCCTGGCTAATTTTTTGCATTTTAGTAGAACGGGGTTTCACCATGTTAGCCAGGATGGTCTCGATCTCCTGACCTCGTGATCCACCCATCTCGGCCTCCCAAAGTGCTGGGATTACAGGCGTGAGCCACAGTGCCTGGCCTATTTTATTTTTGAGATGGAGCCTCACTCTGTCACCCAGGCTAGAGTGCAATGGTACGATCTTGACTGACTGCAACCTCTGCCTCCTGGGTTCAAGTGCTTCTCCTGCCTCAGCCTCCCGAGTAGCTGGAACTACAAGCGCATACCACCACATCTGGCTAATTTTTGTTATTTTAGTAAAGATGGGGTTTCACCATGTTGGCCAGCCTGGTCTCGAACTCCTGACCTCAAGTGATCCACCCACCTTGGCCTCACAAAGTGCTGGGATTACAGGTGTGAGCCACCACTCCCAGCCAGCCTGTGAGAGCTTTAAACCATGAGATAGACATAAGGTTTTGCAAAAGTTTCTGCAGAAATCAGAATGGTTCCCAGAACAGAAAAGCTTCTCTGTCACTTTTTTTATCTGGTTGCTCAACCATAAGATGCCAACCCAATTAACAGTCACACCCATATTTGCATTATATCTGTTTCGTATGTTCCATGTAACTGCCTCCTTTCAAAATGTTAGTATATTTTTCAAGTCAACTGGAACCAAAAGTATAGAGAAACTGAATGCAAGCCAGCTTTCTACATATGTAACACCTTAAGAATCCAGGTTGTATAGACAGGTTTTTGTTTGACACAGATATTTCTCCCAATAAAGAGAGGATAAGGAGCTGGAACTCATGGCACAGTTCCCTACAAAATAATTAATTTATCATGTCTACTAATTAAAATATCTTTTTCTGTACTATTGCAGATACCTGGTTTTGGCTGGGCAAGGTGGCTCACACCTATAATCCCAACATTTTGGGAGGCCGAGGTGGGAGGATCACTTGAGCCCAGGAGTTTCAGACCAACCCGGGTAACACAGTGAGATCCCATCTGTACAAAAAATTAAAAAATTAGCTGGGCATGATGGCACATACCTCTAGTCCAGCTAGCTATTCTGGGAGCTTAGGTAGAAGGATCACTTAAGCCCTAGAGATCAAGTCTGCAGTATGCTGTGATTGCACCACTGCACTCTACCCTGGGTGACAGAGCAAGACCCTGTCTCAAAAAAAAAAAAAAAAAAAAGACACCTGGCTTTACTGTGTATGCTGTACCTCAGGGCAGGTTTTCCCTTTGTCTTCTAATAGACACTTTTTGGATGCAGAAATTGTTCTCTGCAATTTCTTTACTTAAACATAATTATCATCCTGTATGACCTCTGTGGTCTGACTACTTTGAAATTAAGGGAGAAGTTTGGGCACAGTGGCTCACTCCTGTAATCCCAGCACTTTGGGAGGCTGAGGTGGGTGGATCACTTGAGCCCAGGAGTTTGAGGCAACATGACAAGACCCTGTCTCGACAAAAAAACAAAAAACTTAGCCAGACGTGCTGGCACATATTTATGGTCCCAGTTACTCAGGAGGCTGAGGCAGGGGGATTGCTTGAGCCTAGGAGGGGCTCAGGGTCGGCTCAGGAGGTCAAGACTGCAGTGAGCTGTGCTCATGCCCTACTGCACTCCAGCCCAGTCATCAGAGCAAGACCTTGTCTCAAAAAAAAGTAAAGACAGACATGTTTATTATATGGTAGTTTGAAAAATTACCAAAATAAAAGAGATAAATCATGACCGGAGGTGGTGGCTCACGCCTGTAATCCCAGCACTTTGGGAGGCCAGGGCAGGTAGATCACGAGGTCAGAAGATTAAGACCATCCTGGCTAACACGATGAAACCCCGTCTCTACTAAAAATACAAAAAATTAGCCAGGCATGGTGGTGGGCGCCCGTAGTCCCAGCTACTCAGGAGGCTGAGGCAGGAGAATGGCGTGAACTCAGGAGGCGGAGCTTGCACTGCACTCCAGCCTGGGTGACAGAGTGAGATTCCCTCTCAAAAAAAAAAAAAAGAGAGAGAGAGAGAGAGATAAATCAGCCATAATCCTATACCTGATAAGCCAGGATTTGGCAAACTTTTTCTGTGAAGAACCAAATAGTAAATATTTTAGGATAGGGTGCAGTGGCTCATGACTGTAATCCTGGTACTTTGGGAGGCCAAGGTGGAAGAATTGCTTGAGGCCAGGAGTTTGAGACCAGCCTGGGCAATATAGCAAGACTCTGTCACTACAAAAATAAAAATAGGTCAGGCACAGTGGCTCACACCTGTAATCCTAGCATGTTTGAAGGCCAAGGCATGTGGATCACATGAGGTCAGGAGTTCCAGACCAGCCTGGCCAACATGGTAAAACCCTGTCTACTAAAAATACAAAAATTAGCCAGGTGTAGTGGTGCTCACCTGTAATCCCAGCTACTCAGGACTATGAGACAAGAGAATCACTTGAACCCAGGAGGTAGAGGTTTCAGTGAGCTGAGATCACACCATGGCATTCCAGTCTGGGCAAGACAGAGTGAAACTCCATCTCAAAAAAAATAAAGGCCGGGCACAGTGGCTCAAGCCTGTAATCCCAGCACTCTGGGAGTCCGAGACGGGCGGATCATGAGGTCAGGAGATCGAGACCATCCTGGCTAACATGGTGAAACCCCGTCTCTACTAAAAAAAAATACAAAAAAACTAGCTGGGCGAGATGGCGGGCGCTTGTAGTCCCAGCTACTCGGGAGGCTGAGGCAGGAGAATGGCGTAAACCTGGGAGGCAGAGCTTGCAGCCAAGGTCTGACCACTGTACTCCAGCCTGGGTGACAGAGCGAGACTCCGTCTCAAAATAAATAAATAAAATAAATAAAATAAAATAAAATAAAAATAAAATAGCCAGGCATGGTAGCATGCCCCTGTAGTCCTAGCTACGTGGGAAGCTGTGGCAGCAGAATTAAGCCCAGTAGTCTATATACTAGACAGGGTATAAATATAGTTATATTTAATATATAAGTATATATTAATATATATTTAATATATAATTTATATATGTATGTATAAAATATATATTTATAAATATAATATATACACATATATAAATAAAAATATATATTAGGATTTGCTGGCCATATAAACTCTTTTTTTTTTTTCCTACCTTTAAAAATATAAAAACATGGTCCAGGTGCAGTGGCTCACACCTATAATCCCAGCACTTTGAGAGGCCAAGGCAGGTGGATCACGAGGTCAGGAGATCGAGACCATCCTGGCTAACATGGTGAAAACCCGTCTCTACTAAAATTACAAAAAAATTAGCCAGGCGTGGTGGCGGGCACCTGTAGTCCCAGCTACTCAGGAGGCTGAGGCAGGAGAATGGCATGAACCCAGGAGGTGGAGCTTGCAGTGAGCCAAGATCGCGTCACTGCACTCCAGCCTGGGTGACAGAGGGAGACTCCGTCTCAAAAAAAAAAAAAAAACAAAAAAAACTGTGGGCTCCTGTAATCCCAACTACTTGGGAGGCTGAGGCAAGAGAATCGCTTGAACCTGGGAGGTGGAAGTTGCAATGAGCCCAGATCATGCCACTGCACCCCAGCCTGGAGGACAGAGCGA